GAGAGACGACAATCTTCCCGGAAGCATCTGGAAGGAGAAAGGGCGGTGCCTCTGAAGGGCCCTGGTCGAAGCACTGGGTCACGGTCACCATGCCAACCCACAGGGAGTARTGCACGCATGCGAYGGYTGCTGTCCTTGTTGGCACTTGCTGCGCTAAATAGAAGTCCTGCCGGGTGTGCCAGCCCATGACAGACGCTTACCAGACCGTCTATAAACATTTCTGGTTGGGAGTTCATTGTGAATCTGGCTGTGATCGTCGTCCTGACTGCGACGTTAAATAATTCCTGCGAGATGGGGGCGCTCTATAAATTCCTTCTGATCAGCCAGATCACATGGATAGGAAGGCTCGTCGCCGTACGAGGGTAAATAAGAGTGGTTGGGCTGGCTTGCTCGGTAATGACTTGGGCACAGGGGTGGGCCGAAATACACACGAAGACACTGCCTGCTCAATGATGTTGTCCGGTATGTTGGATTGAGGGGAGGGTAGGTTCTAATTGGTGCTCAACTGAGTACACAACCATACCCATCGATCATACATCTGCTACATGGTCATTTTGTATTCTTGATTAGTTGGTGGACATACTGCTAACACCTCACAGATAGATTAGATTAGGACTATAGTATGCTACCATATCCAGTTCTCTCTAATGATGGCTGTAAGTGAACCAATCAGAGTACATCTAGGCTATGTAGACAATCTGTGTGAATGTTGTAGACATGCCACTTGATCGGTACAGTAGGGGACTTGCCGGACACAACCATTTTTAGAAAATTAGGTGTCGGTCAAACATATGCCGCGGTAGGATTCCACTAGGGGATTCTAGTGCAGATACTGTCTGTCTAATTGATGAGTGGATCAGATCCTGTGGAGGGTAGAGCTGACAATAGGAGGTTGACACGTGCGGAAGCACTAAGGATACTGCACGTGTTCCGGGCCCTACAACCGGGAGAAGAAAGACGGCTTATAGCCGAACGTAGAGCCCGTGCACTAGCAGCAGCTAGGGCCACACTAAACGCCGCAGCTAGGGAAGAGGCTGCCGCAACAGCTAGGGCAGCAGCCATGACTAGCTCAGCAGCATCTTCTGCGGCTTTGTCTGGGACTTTGTTGGGAATGCCGACAACTTCCACGGGCACTTCTAGTTCAGTGGGTTCTCAAAAGTCTACTAGTCGGATGGCGGGCCCGCAGTTCAGCCCGCTGACCCCACGTGAAAGGGAACTCAGAGAGCTCCAACAGGTCGAAAGGATCCGTGCACAGTTAGAAAAGGATCTGAAAGAAGCTACCGACAGAGAAAAAGAGATAAAGAATAGAGCAGCCAGGCTTGATACGTTAGAGGGTGACAAAGCTAAGTTAGAGGGCTTGGATGACTCAGGAATGAATGAGCCCATGAAAGTGTTGAGGGACAACATGTTGTCGCTGCATGTGCACGTGGACAGCAGGTTGGACTTCATGCAGAGCACTTTGGACCAAATCCTGGACATTTTGACAAGACCAGGATTTAGACCACCAGCACAATCGCCGTTGCCGTTATCGGCGATGTCAGGCCCCTTTCCAGTACAAGCTAGTACACAACCAAGTGGTACGTCTGCAGCAGTTGCACAGACTGTTGCATCTTCTTCTTCGGGTCCAGCGGTGATTGCTACATCACCGCAACAACCTGTTCCTCATTAGGGACAGCCGCAGGGTCAATGGTACCCTAAGACCCCAATGAAACCGCCTCTTGCCTTCTCAGGCGAGAGAAAGGACGAAGAGCTCAACACTTGGTTGAGGTCAGTTCCGGTTTGGGTGAAGGCCAAGAGGACCTTGCCAGAGGACGAAATGGTAACTGCGGCATCTCACCTGGAGGGTAAGGCAGCCAAATGGCTTGATGGTGTAGTTATAAAGGTCGGGTATGGGAGACGCATGGCGGACTGGGCTAAGTCTCTGACGTTAGACCAGTTCATGGAAATGGTAGAAGCTCGATGGCATAACCCACAAGAGGCACAAAAAGCCACTGATGCCATTAACAAACTAGACCAACGAAAGGTTCTGTCGGTTAGAGAGCTTACGACTACCGTTGAGAGCCTGATCCTCGTCCCAGGCATTAACTACAGCGACCAATTCCTATTGACTACGTTTGTCAGATGTCTCCCAGAGAACATTAGGAACTTGCTAGCCAGCGAGGCACGCACTTAGTACCACTCGTCCGAGACACTGTCTAGGAAAGCCTTAGATTTGGAGGCCACGCTAGGCAATGCTCAACCAACCTCTCAGAATGACTCGAAGAAGAAGAAGAGTCCTCAGGAGTGGAAGAAGAAGGGGGATAAGTTGATGATGGTTGAGTCAGATGGGACTCAAACTGAGATCGATGAACTCTCTGACCTGATGGACTATACAGAGTATGACGGCGAGGAGGTAGCTGAGGGTAACACCCTCGCCGCAGTAGTCAAGACTAAGGCGGCTGGCCGAGGGAAGGGCCAACCTAGGGGTCAAGGGAAGGTCGCCCCCAATCAGACCAAACAGGCTGAGTGGGTTAAGGCAGGTCTTGATCAAGACGTGTGGCGTGACCGCCGAACGCGTGGTGCTTGTATCAACTGCGGGGAATACGGACACTCGCAGTACAAGTGCCAGAACGCTAAGGTTACGCAAAAGGTTGCTCCAAAGATGGGGGCAACTTATTCCCAGGCTTCTAGCTCGGGAAACACGTGAGGTCAGTGGAAGTATTAGCTGCTTCTACTCAAGATGAAGTAGGATTGATACCCTCCCCACTTCATGACAAGGCCAAGGCTAATGACCCCTTAGTCACCCCGCAGACACAACTAGACCAAACTATGCTCTGTACGTTAGACGTGTCTGAAGCCTTAGAGGACTTGGAGAGTGAGTGGTCAAACAAGGACCCTCGCGAGTCTTGGGTGGCGCTGAGGAAAGGTCCTAGAGGGGAACATTTCGTGGTGGAAGTCGATGTAGGAGGCCGCAAATGTGGTGCCTTCATAGACATCGGCTCCACGCGGAATTACATAAGTCGCGACTGTTTGGAAAGGCTGCACCTACAGGACCGGGTAC